AAAGCACTGGAACAGGCTGCCCAGAGAGGTTGTGGAGTCTCCTTCTTTGGAGATCTTTAAAACCCGCTTGGATGCAGCCCTGTGCCACGTGCTCTAGGTGACCCTGCTTGAGCAGGGGGGTTGGACTCGATGACCTCTGAGGTCCCTTCCAACCGTCGGCATTCTATGATTCTATGATTCTATGACTGCAACCCTGGCGTTTAGGAGAGCTACCTTTGTCCTCTTCAGGGACCTCCTTGAAGGAATACACTGGACCAGGGTCCTAGAAGGAAAGGGAGTCCACGAGAGTTGGCTAATATTCAAACACCACTTTCTCTAAGCTCAGAATCAGTGCATTCCCATAAGAAAGGAGTCGAGCAAGAGGGTAAGAGACCTGTGTGGATGGACAAGGAGCTGTTGGGTGAGCTTAATGAGAAAAAGAGCACATACGTAATGTGGAAGAAGGGCCAAGCCACATGGGAAGAATATAGGAACACTGTCAGAGAATACATGGATGCAACAAAGCAAGCCAAGGTCCATTTGGAATTAAAATTAGCAAGAGATGTCAGGGAGAACAGCAAGAGATGTTCTACAAATATATCATCAGCAGAGGAAGACAAGGGAAAATGATAGTCCACTGCTGAATGGGGAGGGTGCCTTGATGATGGAAGATGCAGAGAAGGCAGAGTTACTAAATGCCTTCTTTGCCTCTCTCTTTACTGCTAGGGCTAATCCCCATGAACTACAGTGCCCAGATATAAGAGAGAATCAGGAGAGAGAAAGACTTTCCACTGGTCAAGGATGACTGGGTTAGGGATTATTTAGGCAGGACCCAAGAAACTACATGCTGGTCAGCCTCACCTCTGCCATTGAGAAAGGTGATGGACCAGTTCATCCTAGAGATCCTCTCTAGGCATATCAAGGAAAAGAAGGTTAATCAGGTGTAGTCAGAATGGATTCACCAAGGGCAAGTCATGTTCGACGAACCTGATAGACTTCTATGATAGGATGACTGCCTGGATGGATGATGGGAAAGCTGTGGATGTCATCTACCTTGACTTTTGCAAGGCTTTCAACATCGTCTCCCATTACATCTTCATAGGAAAGCGCTGAAAGTATGGACTGGACAAGAGGACAGAGAGGTGAATTGAGAACTGGCCATATGGCAGAGCTCAGAGGGTGGTGATAAATGAGGCCAAGTCTATTTGGAGGTCTGTGGCCAGTGGTGTCCTCCAGGGATCAGTACTAGGCCCAGTGCTGTTTAACTTGTTCATCAGTGACTTGGATAAGGGCACTGTGTGCACCTTGAGCAAGTTTGTGGATCATACCAAACTAGGCAGAGTGGGTGACACTCCAGAGGGCTGTGCTGCCATTCAGAGGGACCTGGACAGGCTGGAGAGTTGGGCAGAGAGGAACCTCCTGAGGTTCAACAAAGGACAAGTGCAGGGCACTCCAGGCACCAATACAGATTACTGTACTGTACTGTGAGGGAGGAGATTCTGCTTCTCTGCTCAGCTCTGTTGAGGCTGCACCTGGAATATTGTGTGCAGCTCTGGGCTCCCCAGGAGAAGAGGGATGAGGAGCTTCTAGAGAGGGTCCAGCAGAGGGCAACCAAGATGATTAAGGGAATGGAGCATCTCTCGTATGAGGAGAGACTGAGTGAGTTGGGCCTGTTTAGCTTGGAGAAGAGAAGGCTGAGAGGGGATAATGATTAATATGTATAGGTACATGAAGGGTGAATGTAGGGAGGATGGGGCCAAATTCTTCTCAGTGGTGGCCAGTGATAGGACAAGGGGTAATGGGTACAAATTGAAACACAGGAAGTTCCATCGCTAGGTGAGGAAGAAGTTCTTCACTGTGAGGGTGACAGAGCCCTGGCACAGGCTGCCCAGGGAGGTTGTGGAGTCTCCTTCTCTGGAGATCTTCCAAACCCACCTAGATGTGACCCTGTGTCCCATGCTCTGGGTGTCCCTGCTGGAGCAGGGGGGTTGCACTAGCTCTCTAGAGGTCCCTTCCAACCTCAACTATTCTGTGAGTTTGTGAAATTGTATTTTCTTGGCAAAAAAATTACCTCCACAATCTCATCCTTCAGGACAGAAAGCTCACTGTTGTTTCTTGCCATAAACTCATACTTGCATTTGGCATATTTCTTGGGCTGTGCTTTACTGTGTGCTTCGTAGTTTCTGTTAAGCAAAGATCAGTATTTTTCACTGAGGCATTCAGACAAATAAAAATAAAACATCTTCTTTAACAACCTGCAAGACACTTAAACAAAAATCCCACCCTGACATCATGACATCACACTATTGTAATGCTGACCATTCACAATACACTGATTTTCAAAGCAAAAAAATATATATCTACATGCATATAAAAAGAAAAAAGCATTCGAGTTATCTGTAACTCAAACTGGGGGATTTTTATCAATTCATAGCTTGCAATATGTATGATAACTTGGATTAGGAGATGTCATTGCATAAAGATAAATACAAACACTAGTTTAGTGTGTTTTCCTACATGAGACTACTTTAGGTTATCTTAAAAGCAAGTGAATACACTGGGATTGCCTTTTTGGACAAACCATCTTGTACAATCTTTTGTTTTCAATTAAATTATATTTCTAGCTTCATCACAAAGTAAAATTCAAATATAATTCACATATAAATTAATAACTTTTAGGCATTAATTTTAATGGAATAAAATTGCTAACTAGAAAAAAAAAGTCTAGTATACGTCAATTCTCCTAGCTGACTATGAGATATTATAAATACTAACAAACCTGAGCTGTTATACAGCTAAAAATGAAAAATAATTTCTAGATATTTAAGAATAGGGTTCATTGTAGAATGAAGTATACCACAGCACACCTTAGTAGCTCTCTGTTTCTTTGAGGAAAGATCTGTTCAAATTTGTTCAAACCCACACTGGGAGAAAAGCTATTATTTTCTTTGATGTACTTTTACTTCAAGGTCAGAAATGTCCCTCCCCCCTCAAAGAACATCCGAAAGAAAGAGGACTATTATTCACCTATTGCAAGTGACAACCCAAATCTGTACATATAGTGAAGTTGAAAATATATAATATATTGAAAAGATTACAACAAGCAATGACATGAAAGGCTGCATACAACATCACAGCACAGGGGTATAAATGGATCCGATCGCTGATGTTCTCAGGGTGACCATGGCTCCCCGGCACACCTGGACTTTCCAGTGGTTTCCTAGCTATTGCGTGGCTGTGGAGAACTGTCTCACTTGACTCAGAGAGCAGAACAAAGGAACAGTCATATTCAGATTGAAAACGTGTCATTTTGAAAGAACGACAAAACACTAAAAGCATTTAAAGGGAGAAAGAAAAATACGAGTTGAACCACTGCCTGCAGAATAGCTGTTATGAAGTTAAAAGACAGGTGAGTAATCCCAACTTTTCAGCCACCCACTCAAAATTTCTCCAATTTTGAAGTGCTTTCTCACCATTTTAGGCTTATGATTAAAGTACTTCTGAAGCTACTTTTAATGTTAAGCTGCTTTTCCAAACTCAGTGCTTGGAAACCTGAAGCTAATCATCCTGATCGCTCCAAGAACTCTAACTCAGGCAGAATTTGCAAAGAAATGCTTACGCTTCATATTTTACCCAACTCAGCTGCAATCAACAGAAATATCCCTAGGACACAGGCAGGCCGGTGACTGCAAAATTGGAATGCACCATAACTATTCAAGACTAGCTAAATGAGCCAGTTTTCTTGGAGCTAACATATTCTCAGTGCTTTCCTCCATCCATCCTCCACTGTGTTTCCTGTAACCCACTGAATATATTGTAATTGTGACTCTTTACTGTCCTCTGCATGCCATGTGGGAATCTTGTGGATTATAGGGCCTTCAGGGGTCCACTTCCACAAATAACAGCAAAAAAATAAATCACACAGTATGCTATTTTGACAGACACAACTTGCTGAAGAATTACATTCAGACTATATTGGATGGCATCAGACACAGCTTTGAACACAGAAGGCCCAAGTGGACCATAATAATGCATTGGCAATTTAAGATCCTGATAGTTAAAGCTGTTCAAGGAAAATATGTCTTACTCTAGGTCTTGACATTTGAATATGAAGTCCTCTGTGATTAAATAAAGGTCAAAAAGCTGTTGAAATGGTCAGCTTTTATTTCTCCCTCCCTGAACCTACCCTACCACTTGCTTCCTCGCAGTTGCTTTAACACTTATCTTCAAATTGAACTTACTTATAGTAATACATATTAATAGCTTTCCCCCATAAAGAGCTCCTGCCAGGCTCATATTGCACATCTCAAGAGCCAGTTAGCAAATGAGAAGGTTTGTGTGGCGCTGGACAGGCTGGCAGATAACCACGGGCTGCAGATGTTTGCATCAGCACTAGCCATCTAGACTCCCTCCTGCAGTCAATGGTGAGAAATGGGTACCTCTGGTTTCAGGTCTTTCAAAAGACCAATTTCACGTTACACGGCCTACTTCTCAGGAGCAGCCTTTCTCTCTGCCCGCTACAAAGGGGGCTTGAATGACTAGTTCAGATGCTGCCAGATACACTGACACCATCTACAGCTCATTGGGGTGAGTACCATTCTTGAAACCTGAAATAGAGACAAAGGCACTAAGAAGGAATAATCTTACTCTGGGAGAACAAAACAGGCCTTATCATGTTGCAGATAAAAAAGAAAGGAAATTTAGTATAGATCATCCAGATTGCAAGCTGAATGACCCTGAGTGAAGAGCCCAAAGACTAAGAAAGTTTGAGAAAAAGATTACAGATGACCACAATTGCTGCTGTTAAGAATACAAAACAAAAACAAACCTCAGAAAGAATCAAATCTGCATCCTCCACAGCATGGGGGAACTTGTTTGCATGCAGATTAGCATAAGAATCTTTTGGCACATGTCTCAAACCCACATGTGCAATACTTTTCATCAAAATAGCTAAAACAATGATTTTTTGTTTGTTTTTGTTTCGTTAAGCCAATAATCTTACCCCCAAAGCTTAACCTAAACACATTCCCTGACAGAAAAACTAAACGTACAGGTCATATGGTGCATAAGGAATACTGTTTGGCATGGGGGAGGAATGCCAGCTCTGCCTTATTGATTTACTCCCACAGCTTGCCCTGAGATAAATTCCCCATACACCCAAGGCTGAGATTGCAAGTATCAGTACACTTGATCTTCTTAAGCTATTTGGATTTGGGCTAACACAGAGGGGATGAAAAAGGATGTGCAAAAAGACTCTGGTTGCTATGCAAACATTTCAGAGCATTTTGTGTAACTACACACTGGGAAAAGAGCAGAAGTGATCAGATTCTCAAAGTGGCTGTTTCTGCACCAGCACAGAAAACAAATAAAGCAGAACACCAAGGAGCAGAAAGTGAGTAGCTTCACAAATCAAACAACCATTCAAAACAATGACAGATAAATCTCAGAGTAGATTTGTAATTCTTTGTAGCTTCATAAAGATCAAAGCATATCTTTCAAAAAATGTGAAAAAATGTAAAAACAAAATTTAAAATGCAAACAAGAGGATTCAGTGTTCTGATTCATGTTGACAGACTGAAATTCCACTACATCATTTTTAACCAAAGCATCAATTTACAGGGCACAAAGAGGGGATTACCAAGGAGGATATACTGGAAGAGTCTTAAAGATGTGCCTTAAAGAGACTAAAGCAAAACACCCACTGCAAACCAGAGTGACTTCCTAATGAAAACCAGAGTCAATTGCAGACACCTCCACCCCAGCAGCATTAAGTTGGGACAGTTATCCACAGCACCACGTAGGACATCGACTCCGTGTTACCTATCTACGTGCCGGCTAACAGTTTGCTTAAAGGCAGCGACAGCGGCCCCTTGGTCCAGGAGAGGCCCTCTTTTGTACGCGGTGTTACTGAATGCATACCCGTCGGATGGAGGGTAGTCGGGAACGCCAGGAGGCTGCAAGACAAAAAAAAAAAAAAAAAAAAAGCCATAAAGCCACAAAGTGGATTAGTGTCACCTGCACGCCAACAGCACTTGGCTCATTGCACCTAATGCAGGAGCGCCAGGGGCCCTGGCAGCATCTGCGTGCCCCTGTTCTCAGGTGCTCGTGGATTTGCCATGAAAAGTTAATAACTTCTGCATTTCCGACACAAACAGAGAGATCAAAGGGAGGAGAATAAAAGAATTTCTTCCCTAAGTCATCGTGCTGCATTAATATTGCAGGGGATGTTCTTTAGAAAAAAACAGTTCTCTGGGGCAAGGTCCATGTCATCTTTTAGATATCAAGACAGCAACAGAACTTGCAAACAACGATTGAATGGCTTTAAAATAAACTACATCCAGAAACTGCTTTGAGCTTTTATTCTAAATCCACTCTTTAAGGCAGAAAACTCTAGCAAGCTAACACTAAGCCTTGGTAAGAAATAAAGCCTCTGCAATAAGTTGTGCCTTATTTCTGTCACCCTCCAATTTAACATAACTGAAGTCAGTGCAAGAAGGAAAGTGATACTCAGTGTAATTAAGGATTTTAATTAAATAATATGTTTACTACAAGAACCTATATGAGCTAAATAGGCATATGACCCTTTCAAAATTCTAAATTCTTTTTAAATAGCAGCTTTTCACAAATGCCCAATCTTAAACCTGGCAACAATATGCTGCTTGCAGTAAGTACTACTTTAAAATTCACTGACCCAAATAAATTAATCTCCACTTAATTTCTGAAGATTATTATACAGATGTTCCTCCTTTTACAACTCTTTCTCCTCATGCCATCATCTCATTGCACAAGTTAGAGCAACTGAGCCTCACTGGAAAATCTCAAATCTCTCTGTTTTTTTTCTCAGTGTGTGGCTACAGAAGAGTCACCCACTACATTTATGTATCAGAGACCTACTGCCTACAGACATTTATTTGTGGTGCCGAGGCTTTGTGAAGTGAAAAGAACAAAGAAACTCATATATGCAGAATATTCTTTAAAAATACATTATGAAACCCTCTTTGAGGAAAATCTCAAGTGTCAGCTAGTTTATACATTTCAGCAGAAAGATACCCGGGGAGCAGAAATTTGTTTTATTTCACACAGAAATTACTTGCACTGCCTCAGCCTCAATGGACTGCAATCACTGGCTCCCCGTTGCTTTGCTGCCATTTGAAGTCACCACCATGGAGGTGACTGCAACTTGAATCCCTCCTTGGCACAAACCGTGTGTGCGACTGCAGCATTCAGATTCCAGCATGGCAAAGTTTAAAAAAAAAAATAAAAAAAAAATCATAGGTATCTGATGTGTTTTGCTAGGAGCCAGATCAATCAGTGGTAGTAATAAAGGCCAGCAAGTGGCCACAGCAGCAGTATGTATGGTGCTATACCACCTGAGATATATGAACGAACAATTAAGGCAGCCACTCTGACATCCCTTGCTATAGGACAGACGGGTTGCTGCAGACAATAACATTTTACACTCGCATTGCTCTTTCCAGCTGAGCACCTACAGCTTTCTGCAGCTATAAAGCACCTCCAAGCTTCTTGCCCTGGAGCTGCTGCTGCGCGGAGACCTCACATAGGAGGCCAAGGTGCCAAAGTTGGCACCTTTCCATTTGGACTTGGCCGAGACCAAGCAGCAGAGTCAAGAACCATAGCCTTAAATCTCGCCCTTGATTTTTTTTTTCCCTTGAAGACCAATACAAAGAGTCTTATTCTTACTTTCCCCCAAGATTTTAAACTTATTACTCATAAAAATGTTACAGAAAATTTTTACAATCATCAGAACACAAGAAATAATACTGATATTTTTATCAGTACTATTTTACATATTTCACACAGCAGTGAAAGTAGATAAAGGGTTTTTTTTTGTTGTTTTCATATTTTCTATTTCAAAGAAACACAAAAGAGATCAGAAAAGTTGCATAAGAAACATAGGACAGCAGCAAAACTATGAGACAATGTTTGATGGGAATTTGGGGGACATATATAGGGAAGGGGGTTACAGCAATGGCTAGCTTTTATATAGCTGTGCTCAGTATCCTTATTAAATATTTTTTTTCCTCAAAATAAATCACAGACAATAACTACCTTCATTTGTTCTTGTATATTTTATCAGACAAACTCAAATTTATTTTAAGTAAACAAATGCAAATCATGATAGCCTCAATTGCTTGGGAGAAGTTTTACACTGATTTATCATCTCTATATCCATTCTTTTTTTTTAAGCAAATGAAGATTTTCTTCAAAACAGAATTTATTGTGACAAGATTTTTAATGGGAAGTATGGATTAACCTTTTGGAGAAAGCTTCATCTCCACTGCAAGGAATTGCTCTGGAAGGGAAAGTCACCCCCCAGCAGCCAGTTATACAATATATTGTGAATTCAGGTCAACCTGCCTATGACTGAACACTGGTCTACGATATTCGAGACAAATACTCTAACCACAAAAATGCTCCGATTTTTCATCTTTTTTAATAATGAAAGTTTCATGAAATACAAATGGCTTTTCTTCCCTAGCTTTTGCCATCTCTGGATCACATCCCTGTGTACTGACAGTCTCCTAACACACCTATGAAGGAGCAGGCATCTCTCCAGGGTTATGTGTTGCCAAAGGCCGAAGAGCAGTCACTCCTGCACAGAGAAATGCTCACTGCAATAACTCAACATCAGAAAGATGAATCCTGCTCAAAGCCAAAAATGGCAACTACAAGCAATATCTTTCTGAAGCACAAATGGCAGTCAGGTAACCCTTCTGAAATCGTTCCTCTGATTTTAATTTTTTTATGTGCTTGTACATGGATGCACATTCGAAGATAAGAAAGATGAAGACACGCATTGCTCCATATTCTGCCTACTGCATATGCAGTCAAAACCAATTGCATCTGAAAGCATAAGAATCAAACCAAATCTTAGGAGCCTGGATTCTTCTCCAAACAGAGGTAGGAAAACCTCCTGAGGAAGGAGTGTCATTTAATTAGAATTTAGAAAACAAATACTTAAAGAAGGGCTTACTTCTATAGTGCATAGCCTACCTCAGTTGACAGTCTTCTCATTTCTTGTTTCCTCTGCTGCTCTGCAACATTCGCCACAGACTCAGCCAGATGATTTAGTTCCTGTTCCTTTGGAGCTCCTATGAAGTTCAGCAAAGGAGGTTCCCAACCATTTCGGAAGCGAGGGACATAGGGTGGAATAAACTGGTCTTTGGGCCAGTCCGCTCTGCATGGAAAGTAAATTAGAAATCTATGTCAAGGGAGCATACAAGTATTTTTAGTAGTTTTCCTTAGAAATGAAATGCTTTGTAATTTTTAGGAATAGAGAGAAGGCTGGAATTACAGCACAGAAATAATTATGCTAAAATGAAGAAAATTAGCAGAAAGAACTATTCATTGACCACAACTATGCTCCTTGCTGTGCTTAGCAGAAAATCTGTTCCTGCCCTAAGAACTAGCTAGAGTTAAGACACAACGAATTTCTGTCTCATAGTAAAGGATGAGTAATAGAAAAATGAATTACAAACAAAACTGGTATTTATTTTAATTGTAAGATGGTAAGAACTGCAATGCTGCATTTATGTTAGAGCATAGACAAAAGACTTCAAAGAAACACTCTGTTTTAAAATACTTGAAAGTAGGCATGAAGCCTTGATTCCTGAGAGCTAGAAATACCTACGTACATCAAAAAAAAAAAAAGGGGGGGGGGGGGGGAGAGGGATAAATTCCTTTTCCTCCACACTCTACAAAACAAGAATTTGCTCATTTGCTGTTTTGCAGCCTCTTTTTTTTGAATCTGTATGACTTCTTAGAGCTCCTTTAGCATTCTTTTATTTTGTTACACAGTACCTAAATTAATGCTTTCATGCTCTACCTTTGCAATAACATGCTGTCTTGCAGCATATATTACTGTCTCTTCACAGTAGTAGCAGAAGGGAGAATGTACATTACAGTCTTTTAATGTTCTCATTATTGACACTTTTGAAAATGAATCAAGTAACAAGTTCTGTCAGTTAAATGAGTTACAGAAGGGGTCACCATTTATTATCCCATTAGCAAGTGCTAGATCCCTTGAGTACTACTGCTCACTTCTTGTTAAATTGCATAGCAAGTATGCACAGGCCAAACAGACCGTTTCCAATGCCCATAGCTCATTCACTTACATGCCAAATACTGTTTTTCTTCCTAGCCCAATAGGAGACATTTCACAGAATCACAGAATGTTCAAGGTTGAGGTCCAATTTCTGACTGGACTTAGCTGTTTTCTTTTCAGGAAGAAAAGAAAATCCCTAAGGGTTTCTTAGGGGGGCTTTTCCCCCACTAAGGGAACGATGATGGTAGTTCCCAAGACAAGGAGTCTGTTATTTCATTCTACTGTCCAGTGCTGCAAGTGAATCTCCATAGTCAGGCTGGCTGCAAGCTGCAGTGAAGAGCTCTGGGCAGCTGCCGATAAGCAGATGATGGGCATAAGAAGATGATGCTTTGCTTGAAACTGCCTGGTAATCGCAAGCAACTGCAACAGATGATTCCATCTTATTTTGCAATTTCAAGCTAAATAGTCCAATGAGGGAGAAGCTTGGAAATTTCATGCAGCAGAGTGAGACTGAGGAGAAGAGGACCTGTACCTTGCTCTTCCTACTCTGAGGGTCTTCATCCTTTCACATTGTAGGACTTTTATTTTTGTTTAGCATCTTCTATCGGTAAAGTGCTCAACTCCTTTTTTTTTTCCCCCTCTCTCTCTTTTTTTTTTTTTTTTTTTTTTTTTTTTTTTTTTTTTTTTTTTTTTTTCTTTAAGTCTGACCACAAAGC